ACAAAACGTCCCAATCCACTATCCCATCCGATCTCCATCTCCGATCCACGTGAGCAAGCTACGGCATCGTTATTCCCTCATGCAATTGCATTCCATATCGTCAAAGTCACGAAGCATGGCCAAATTCTCCCAGCCAGTAGCCTCGTCTCTATTACTCTCTAATTCACTCTTTAATCGAGCATTATTCTGCCTAGATGCAACTTACGATTACGCGGTACCGATGCCAGTACCTAGTGCGAGCAGCGATCAGGACAGCATATTTTCCAAGTCGTCCAGGGGCAGCGCCAAGGTAACGTATACAGGGATTTGTTGATATTTGCATGAATTCGCGAGCGCTCGACGTCAATCCCCACCCCCCGTCGTCCCGTTGAAAAGAAAGCGCGCGAAACAGGGGGTCGTTTCGTTTTAGCGCGAATCGTTTATCGTTCGCGCTAATCGACGACCTCATGCGTTGCCCTTAAGCATCCTTAAATAATATGACAATACAAACGTCGAATTTTCGGCCAACAGGCTTGCTTGCAGAGCTTCTTCCCGCCACCGCCGCCCCCAATGAGCGCACCGCCCTCGCGGGTGGGCAGCAACAATCTCACGTACTCGAGTCCTCCGAGTCCGGAGCTGATGTGCGAGCGCAGTGGTCGACTCGGCAGCAAACGTCGCGATCATTCGCTCCATCGATACGCATGAGACGAGCTTCAGCAGCAGCCTCAGCAGCCTCAGCAGCCTCAGCAGCCTCAGCAGCAGCGAAGAAACAATCGATGGCCCAAGCGAACGATGACGAGCTCCTCGGCTTCGACGCTACTTTATACGCGAGCCTACGTGAGTACCTACGGCAATATGCTGTAGAAAGAGAAAGATTTTTCGTCGGCAGCCGGCACCGACCGAGTTAGCGACGACTCGCGGGATGCATAGAGCTAGGGAAGAGCTAGGGGATCGACGGGGGTGAACGCGGTGGCGAGCGGGGGGTGGGGTGGGGGGGTGGATCGTTTCTCAATCCTTGACAGAAATTATTATCGAGAACGTAGGCTCTGCGATTGCGGTGCACTAGGTGCTTATGGCCATGCACTCTCTGTCGCAACATCATCTCGCGCGCTCCTCTAACGCGTCTAAACTAACAATCGCACAATCGCCTCTCTTAACTCTGGGAATTTTAGAAAAGTAGTTGGATCGTACTAGCGATTTCCCCATCGTTTATACTCATTTTTATATTACACATAATTTATACTCATTTTCGACAATTATTACTATTATTATTATAATAATTATTACTATTATTATTATTTTTTTTTATTACTATTATTATTATTATTATTATTATTATTATTATCATCATTATCATCATTATCATCATCATCATCATCATCATCATCATCATCATCATCATCATCATCATCATCATCATCATCATCATCATCATCATCATCATCATCATCATCATCATCATCATTATCATCGTCGGCGCGATCATTATTAATAATTATTTAACGATTGTAAAAGAATCATCGTTCGCGTGATAAAAAGATTCTATTTATTTTAAAAAAACATGGCCTTTTCGAAGCCGTTAAAGTAGCATATATTTCGTCTATTATTATTAATTAATCAATTATAATATATGATTAGCCGATGAGGATAAAGACGATAACCGATTTCCATGCTCGAGCTATTGTATTGATCATTTCATATTTTTATCACGTGCGTCTAATCGTGGTGCGATCAAGATTTTACTTAACAATAAATGCGCAATCTCAAGTACGTAATTAACATACGAATGTCGCAGAAATGGTAACGATGGCACATGGGTTGATCGAGACCATTTGATAATCAACGAATATTCTCCTTGACCCTTGAAATAACAAAAATAAACATGTAATTTTCGCCCCTAACGAATAGCCGTGCATTTTCCCTCGTCGCATAAAATCGGCCCAACTTCCAACGAAGGCAAGCGCTTGCGAATCGCGCTATGACCTAAGAAACAAAGGGTACAATTTTCGATAATCTTGATGGTGATTGTTGAAGTAATTGGCATATCAGTTTAAGACATTATTACAACCAGACGTAAGCGAAAATTCTCAATGCGTTGTTTAACCCTTAGCCATTATAATTCGCCCTTTATCTTTCCTCTTTGCCTTGTTAAAACGGAAAAACTAAACCATTCGCTTCGTGCAGCCAATTATAATCATAATAATGACATTAATGCATGTAAAGATTGAACTTTTTATAAAGCGAATTTCCATGGAGAAAATGTGTATTAATTGATTCCCTCGATATAAGTGCGATCGTCTTGCTAAGCAATAACGATTTCTATTCTCCATCTTATAACGAAGCTCTGTATTTGATTGACTAATTAAGATAATATTAAATAATGATAGAGTATTTAAGCTGTTGCGATATTATAGAAATATAAATAGAACGTGTATATAGAATAACGGTGTGTAAGACGTAACGAGGAAGTTTCATTTTCTAAGTCACGAACGATGAAAAACGATATAATCGATGATCATGGAACAAGAAAATCGTGCGAGGAAATTCATATGTATGCGCACATATGTGCGTATTTCGCGATTCTACCGCCAGAACAAAAAGTCACAATTATCCAGGCATTCGGGATATGATCGATTTTTATAAACAATATATATATATATATATATATATATATATGTAAACGCATATGCAAGACTGACTGTTGTCGAATGAAATATAATGAAAATAATAATTCAGTTCCATGCGATATGTTGATGTATTTATTGCCTGTAGCATCGATGTGACGAAACGTTCTTTTTTTTTATTTATTTATCTATGACGTATATAAGTAAATGCATTAAAGCTAAGACGTCTGGTTATATAATAGGCAGTAGACACGTGGAAAAGTGAACAGAAAAATCTTATTCCAACTTTTATCATTTTCCATAAAAATCATGCATTAAGCCTGAATGTCGAACGAATTTCTTATTTCTCCCCGTAGTTCCCTTTTATTTAACTATTGTATTATTAGTTATTAAAAAATTCATACTCTTCTCGTTTTACTTTGCGTTCTGACGTATAGTATATATATATATACACACAATATATTTAGTATATGTGGTAGTGTGTACAGTATATATGGTACGTATAAAATATACGTACATGCAGTGAAAGGGAAAAGGAAATCGTCGTCTCCTCACTGGCAAAATAATACGAAAAATATTTCGCGAATTCGCGCATTTCATACGTTTTTTAGTGTTTTTTTTTTTTTTTTTTTTAAGCCTTTTATAGCTTCTGTACATATAGTTGAACGGAGTGAAAAACATAAACTATTTTTCGTGATTTCATTACGCGATATACAACGATTTCCTTTTACTCCCAACAAAATACACTATTCTATTTCTCTAAAAACGAATACAATTTAACCGACGTCGCCTTTATGCAACGAGGAAATAGGAACTACAAAGATCGCGAAATTTTTTCTTATATAATGATAGAGAATATATTGTGTATAATTTAAAGGGTACAGTCAATAAGCAGAAGGTAACGAAGGGAGAGAGAGAGGGAGAGAGAGAGAGAGAGAGAGAGAGAGAGAGAATAAAATAAAAAAAACGACAATACAGGGATGAGGAAACAATAATAGCTAAGAGAACACACACACAGAAGAAACCCTATACAATGTGATATATATAAAAAAGATTTAATAGGAAAATCAGATCGCGTGTTATTTTGTATCATTGCTGTGGATTTTTGCGAATCCATGATGCAGAAATCTTAGATGAAAAATTGAACTTTTGATTTGATCAACTCGAATTAGGTCGTCAGAAAGACATTTTTATACTTTTTTGTTTATGATAACGAAACGATTATTTCTTTGTATTATTTTTATTCTCCTCCCTATCATAGGTAAAAACTTTCTAATACTATAAAATTCCTTCTCAACAATCCACAAGAAACACTGCATAAATTATGGGAATGAATTAATTATTGCTTTTCGAGTAAATTTTTAAAGTCATCGAAACCTTTCGCTTAGGACTAAGAAACTCTTGCTAGCTTAGAACAAATTATCAATCTTCAACAACGACTGGAAAAGGTTATATTTAAAAGAATATTAAACGCTATTGACTAGATTTTTAATATCCCTAAATTGATATCACACGTGTAACAACTTAAAAAAATAAAGTAAAATAAAAATAAAAAAAAAGAAAAGAAAAGAAAATAAAAGACGCATACACAATATGTATGTATTATATGAATTAACTAGCAAGTTTTTATATTATTAAGAAAATATTAACGTCTCGTCGTTGGACGAGCTCTCGACACTCGTTCATCCTTTCAAATTTTCATAACTAGTCGATTCTAAACAATTTCATGAGTAATTTATTAAAATATCTTTTCCACTGACTCTATTGCGTGAAATTTTACTTTAAAATGCAGTTTGAGTATAAGACCAAACAAATAGTAATAAACAAAAACATTATTACATTGTCAATGTAATTCAATATAAGATAAAAAGCCAGGATGAAAAAATGTCGTCGTGATCGTTGGAAGGACGATAAGTAATATTTAAACTATGTATATCGACCAATCTAATACTCTGCGTCTCGATCATCACAAAACAATATCTCGTTTGACAATCGAATGAGCAATAATCTTTCCTCCTATTGCATCAATTGTTAAAGAGCTTTTCATCACCCTTATAATAATAACAATTTGAATGAATGCCGTGAGATTGCGAAGGAATATCGATTCGACGTGATACGAGCGAATTGATACGCCGAATGTCCTGAAAAGCAATGAACGAGCGAAGTGCTTCGGCGGAACTTTCTTGTAAATACACAACGATAACGAAAATCCTACATACAATCTGCCTTTGCGAAATTTAGCCACAATAAGTCGACGATAAGCGAGAACGAAGAAGCGAAAGATCTCCCGCATCATCTTATGCGCGCTTGTGTTGTCAAAAGCAAAGTCACGCGCACCCTGACCTAGTAGTCACGTACGTGCAGGCCTGCAGTATCTGGGGGAGGGGGATGGGGGAGAGGATAATTCGAGGTAGAGTGCAAATTGATCGAATGCGCGCTTTGCCGAACAGTTGCCGTTCCCTTCGCAACTTACGTATTTACCGCCCCGGCAATTACCATTCCACGGGCTCATTGCCATTATTACGTAATTGCCGTGATTTCGCAGTTCTATCGTCTTTGAGCCCGAGATGCGGGGTACATTAGGCCGTGAGCCATTATTTCTTTTTGCATTTCTTTGTATTTGTGATTTTTGGCTGTAAGGCGAAACCGATGATTTCACTTCGCTTCACTTATGGTGCAAGACCTCGGCAAGTACGTAGCGACATCTGATAAAGGAAGATGCCGATAAAAGAAGACGAGAAAAGCGAATTAAATGGCCCAGGCGTATATAAGATTCCTTGAAGCTTCCTTGTTGCGCTAATACATTCGTCGAGATTTATAAATTATTTTTTTCTTCTTTTTTTTCTTTCTTTTTTCTTTTATCCAATTCACTGCATCATCGCTGGCCGAATGAGAGATGGATGCAAATTTATCAGGATATTGAAAAAAAAAAAAAAAAAAAAAAATATATATATATATAATCAGTCGCTTTCTCAAAAATTACACACTCATTATTCAACTAACCTCGCATTCAATAATTATCAAAGTGTCATTTCATTATGATTAATAAAGTAAAGCAACACGATTGTCTCTGCTTAATTACATGCTCGGCAACTCGCAAAAA